TGAAATCAAATAGGCTACACATAAGATAAAGACAATAGCTGTGCTGTGATTTAGGCTATACTTGCATGTAAAATTAGAGAAGCAACATCATATATATTTGAACTGAAAGCGCTGCTCCTCTCTTCCGCTCGCTGAACAGAGCAGACGCAGAGAGAGGTGTGTGCGCAGCGGGAAAGAGAGACCTCGCGCAGCAGTACCGGCTGGTCTCAGAAACCAAATAAGGTTTGGGCAAACCCTAACGATTTGTCACTAGGAGCTTAAAAAAAAAAATAAAAATTTGCTAAAGGGGTCTGAAAAGTCACTAAATCTCAAACAAAGTCGATAAGTTCACAACAACTGTCAGCATATCCATTTCTCCAACTATCTTACGGGTTAGGCCACGGGTCAAACAGAAAATGCACGCTGCGTTAATCGCGCATTAATAAAATTAGTGCCGTTAAAATTAATTTGCGTTAATTTTGACAGCCCTAATTGTTATATATTCCTGAATCGCTTCAGACTTGGTCAGAATAATGTCACAACATAGCTGAGGTAAAACTGTGAAAGGATTTTTGATATCATAAAAAGACTTACAATAGCAAAAAGACTAGAGATATACAAAGACTGTGCACTCAAATTACTTATGAATGGGAGAAAGTACAATGCACAATATGGTGGAATAGTTTTGCCTTCTAAATAAAAGAGCCAATGGCTAATTTGTAAAGTCATCACATTACTGCAGCTGCCATTAAAAGCTCTGGTTGCTACAGAAACACAGATTTCTGAGATGCACGCTTTGGACTGCATATGCTCATTGGCTGGTCCTGCTGGCAATTAGGCATAGGCAAAAACTAAGAAATGGGCATGGAGGGGGGGGTCTCTGTAGCATCACCTTTCAGCTCCACCAAACAGGAAGTCAGACGCTTTTGATTTAATGTGGATTTTTTTTAAATTTCAGGCTCTGACCGTATAAATAGTCCTCAAAGGATTAATGCTTTTTTAAACAAACATGGTCAAAATTATGCCAAGACACTGAAGATGCTAAATTTAGATGCAGTGTTGCTGTAGCGACGAATTAAAACATGAAACAGGAAGTCTATTATAGTCTTTCATATATGATTTATATCAAATTAGTGTTGTATGTTTGATCATGAGGGTTGATAACATGGATGTGTTAATTGTGGTTCACGGTCATAGCACAAACAACCGGCGGTATAAAGAGTGGCACATACAAATAAAACTGACATATTATAACTACCTGCTTAAAAGCATATTGCACACGGTGCATTGTTTTTCTAAAGACACCAGTTTACAGTGGAATTGCTTCTTGTGCCTTCCATCACTGCTTGCAGTTATATTTTCAATTGCTATGCATATTCAAAGATATTGTATTGTTTAACAATGCAATTTTGAAGCATGAATCACGCTAAAAGTATAATATGCACAAAAAGGTAGAAATGCACCATTAATTGTCAGAAGATCTCGATTCAAAAACCCACGCGATCTTAATTCTAAATGGCAATGGTTAGGCTAAGCTATGTCTATAACCCCTGGTTCATATGCAAAACACCCCGCTAAAAGACAAAGGATCGTAAACGTTCTCTCCAAAAGTTAAATTCCTTATTGGCTTGTTTGGATGTTGTGGGTTTTGTAGATATATTAGGGTCCATCTCATGCCACACTCCACTGGCCCTACCCACTAATCCAGGCCTCAACAGTGTGAGCATTTTAATCGCATTTCTGACTAAGAATAGTTGCAGGGTTCCCACTCTTTCATGAACACTAGATTCAAGGACTTTTTAAAACACCATTTATTTTATATCAAGCACCTATCAAATTCACACCCCAGCATATGTAGCATCATGAAAGACCTCTTACAGTACATAACATTTCACTTACACTTAACATTTACATTAAAAATGTCAGAGTAATGAGGTTTTGAATGTGTAGGTCTCATAAAATTAAACCTTCTAATGAATAATCAAAAATTCTGATCAAATATTAGCCTTTCCATTACGAGATGATATTTGACTCAAAGTGATTTACAGGGAATTTAGTTTTTACACCTTTGTAATGGCGTTTTTCTAACTTTATTAAAAGTATGTCATCTTTTGTCAAATTGAAAAATTATATTTATAAGCTTTTTAAAATTTCTAATTAAAACAATAGAATAAAATCAAGTAGAATAAGAATAAGTTACCAATCAAATTAAATCAGTATTAAAAAATTAATTTGTACTACAGAGCTGGCACAGAAAAACACAAAAGTGTATTTTCAGACGTTTAATGAGGCTCAGAGGTGGCATGAGTGCAATTAAATTCATAAATTCATGTTGAGGTTAATGTTTTAAATATAAAATATATATATTATATTATAATATATATATAAAATATAGAAATATTAAACGAATTAAATAACAGAAAAGATCCTTTAAAAATGAAAGTAAAACTGCCAGTATGTGGCGGCAAATCATTGAGTTTATCACTAAATCATTCATTCAATTGATTCGTTCGAATGACTAATTCATTCAGGAATGAAGCAAGTGACTGGCTTCATGAATGGGTAATTGATTCAGATTAGTTTAAAAACGCACGTTCATTCATAAACGAAACACCGGCTCAGCTGTGACTTTGTTTGAAATGATTTTCGTTGATGAAATAGAGCAAAATCAGGCAATATTGTTGTAGTCAGCCAATGCAAGTCACTTAATATTAATTTCTTGTTTAATGGACTGTTGTATTAAATCAATATCACATTTGCAAACTTGATAATCACCTTAATAATCATTAAAAGTTGTCACTCACTCATCGCGATCTCACAAAGTTCCATTCTAATCAACGAAGCTCCATACACTGCACAATGAATCTATTATTTACACCCTGTCAACACTTTGTTTGCTATAATGAGAGGATTCGTGAGATTACAGAATTCAGCACTGAACGAAACTCCGGTGTTTGAGTAGTGAGTGGATTCCGATTAACATTGTGTTCAAGGAATCAACATATTTGTCTGTGATACATTACTCAACGCAGCAAAAACACGTTGTAAGTACGTTAGAAACCTTTGAAGCTCCCCTGAGCCCAAACACAAATATGCTGATCGGGTCAGTCCTACTGGTGCTCCTTTTTTTTTTCATAGTTGCACGCAGTAATTTTCAGTCGCAAATGCACTGCTTCTCCATAGGTTCATGCAGGGCTGCGCATCAGCTCACACGCTAAGTTTTTTCTCGCGCTACACCCCATCTCAACCCCCCAATCATTAGCGCCATTTCGTTTTGTCTTTGACAGCGTCAGCGCATATAGAACAATTTTTGAAATAGCACCATTCTACTAAACAAAATTTATTTCAAATTTAATTCAAGCACTTTCAAGGACTTATATTTGTTTTCAAGTACTTTCCAGGCCTTGAATCCATGTGTCTGATATTCAAGTACTTTCAAGAAGTGTGGGAACCCTGAGATGTGTGTGAACTGTAAAATGTATTTAGGAGCATGTGATTGAATAAAAAGTAAAAAAAAAAAAAAAAAAAAATTTTATGCAATTTGACGTCATAATTTTTACAATTGTATAACAAACATCTTAATTATAATTTTTTTAATTTCTTAAATTTGGGAATAATAAAAAAAAAAACAGGAATACGATACAGAGAAAAAATGTTGCTCTGTTCTACAGGCTCATGGTTTCAGAGTACAATCAATGAATACCATGCATTTATGCCAGTGCTTGTGATCTACTGTTGATGAATTATGACGGTTTACTTTATGGTGTTTACATTGTAATATGATGTAGAGGCAGAGATTTTATCTCCCTCATCTTTTTTGAGGGAGATAAAATATGTTGGTTATTTGACAGCTGCGCAAATGGATATTTAAACGCTAATGAGTTTTTTTTTATTATTATTATATTTCTTATTGCTGTATTGTAATTTCAAGGAAGAAAATAAATACAGAAATATGGGACACCGTTTACCCCTTGCAGGACATTGGAGAAAGCTCTCAATTTTGGGACACTGCAGACTGTTTTGTAAACCAGGCACAATTAAATGCAGTTTGAAAAAAACATTTTGTTGAAAGATGAAGCAGTGCCAACTGTATTAAATCTGACAGCAGTAATATCACAGTAAATAATTTCATAATGCTTTGTCTGTAAAAGAGGGCTTTATATTTATTTTTATTTATATTTATGTTTTCAAAACACTTTCTTACATGCAAAAAAGAGTGCTTGTGTTAATAAACCCTCCGTCACAAACAATTTTTAATTATTAAAAAATATTTTTTTCTTACATAAGGAGAACCTCAAAGAACATATTGAAATACTAAAAATAAAAAAGGCTTCTTTCTCTCTCAAACTCTAGTGATCCAGAAAATGACCATAAATACTTCTGAAAATGGACACCTCACTATTCATACGCACGTTTTTGCTCATGCAGACCATAATAAATGCTTTAAGGGACGCATGTTGAGTAATCTCCTACTGTACACTCTCAAACCACAGATATATTTGTGGAGATCTGTGAATACTTTCACTCTAATTGCAAGCAGAAGTAACAGAGAGGCTTTAATCACTAACGTTTTATGTACTCGCTAGGGATGTCAACGATTAATCGATTATCGATTAATTGCCGATAAGAGATGCAATCGATTAAAGCTATCGATGGTCGATTAAGTCGTTTAACTACGGTTGAGGATTTAAACAAATAACAATTTGTTTTCATTAAAAAAAAAAATAGTGAATATATCTGGCTTAAATAATTAAGCTAACAGATTTAAAACAGAAGTGTGGCGCTGCGCTCCATAAACAAGTTTTTTTATGTTTCAGCTGTTCGATCGCGCCGGCACCTCACGCGCACACACCCCACATAGAGCACCACGAAACCATTTAAAGAGGCGCGTTCAGCGGTCTCTGTGTCGGGATAGGAAACAGTCAACAAAGTAAAATTATCTCAAACGAGCTCTCTTCATTTTATCAAATGATCATAATCACATCTATTCATTTTCGAAAATTGACATCCCTAGTACTTACCATCCTCCTCGCGGTCATCAGCAGTTCTGTTAAGGGAATTCTGTAGCCACAGGACAGGCCCTGACAGACCTGTTAACACAAAATATTAGAAATGTTCTCAGCCTTCACTTAGAAAGAATCTCAAAATTATGCCTGATGGTACTTACCTTGTTGCTGTAAAGTCTGGACCATGTTTCTCAGACTATGAATTTTCTTCAAAGAATTGTCTCTACTCATGCTCTTTTGTCCTTCTTTGGCTGAGTTGTCAACAAGCTTTTCATAGTCTTGTTCATCTTCATCTTGATCAGATTGATCCTCTTCTTCTTCCTCTATGTCCAGTTCCTTCTCCTGTGGCTCTTCAGTCAGATCAAAGAACTCTTCCTCTGTCTGACATGTATAAACACACACAAATATAAATGTATATCTGCCGACAGAACAGCAGCTACTGTAAATGCCGACTGGTTGGGAGTTATTAAAGTATTCTGAATTACATACACCTTAATCATTTTACTATGATGATGGCAAAGGTAAATGCAAGTTTAAAAATGGTTTTGAATGGCCTTTCAGCAGACACAGTCCTTGAGGGGGCCTTGGGGTCTTTACATGGGGCCTCAGTAAATTGCTGTAAAAAAAGTAAAAAAGCCAACCACCTTGTCTCCATCACATTCTGGTAAAGACTGGTATAGACATTTTATTGCTAAGATATGGCTAGGGCCTCCAACCACTGGTAAGGGCTCTTTTAGGACACTGCATCAAGTCAAAAAACACCACTTCCATGTATCTATGATCTAAATGACCACCTTGTGAAATTGTAAAATTCACAGGCAAAAAATTTAAAAATTTGGTGCTTGGTGGGTGTTAATTTTCAACCCTGGTTTCAGGCATTTTTGTTTTAGTTCAGCATAAATGTAATTATTACCATTGTACATACTGTATAACATAATGCATCCATTTTGCATTACACCAATGAGGAGTAGAAGGTTAAAATATGCCAGTCATGAAAAAACTTGTCTTTTAATTTTAGGATGAAATGTGACTGCCCTATCAAAGCTTTTTTTATATTGCACCATAGAACTTATATGTTGATGGACGCACCATTCCAGTACTCCTCCCAGGAGCACTGCGATTTCTCTTCTTGTAAAGATCTCTGCGATCGGACACTAGACCCATGCTGAGGATCTTGTCGACTATTCGAGCCTTTGAATGCTTGGCTGTGATCCGCTTTAGAATATTTCCAAGGACATCTACGAAAATAACAGAGAAAACAATAAATAAAGGACTTTGCCTTGAAGTCAAGAGACCGAGTTAGGTAGATGTGATGATTATTTTCAGTTTTATTATTTCTTCTTCTTTTTATTATTTGCACTTATGTTGAAGAGACAGTTCCAAAGCCAGCGAGCAATTACACTGATTTCATGAATTTCATTTCAAAGTTTTCATGAACCTCAAATGTTCAAAACATGCTTCATTTCAAAATGGACATCACTGAAAACAGTGATAACTTCAGATGTTTCGGTAATAATAATCAAATGTTAATTCAGGAACAACTGAATGATTTAGTGAGTTCATTTGTGAAAGATTTATCAGACATTCAAATTTTAGAGTTTTTTTTAACTCATTAAAGAGACTCCTCACATTCATTTATTTTTATCTCACTACCTCATTTCATTTTTGTTATTACAGTAAGAGCAATGAAATCAACAACACAAAATGATCAGAATTTTTACTTGATTATGGAATAATCATCATTTCATATAATTAAAATATATTTAATTTACACTAACCATCAGAGTCTCTAAACTCCTCAAAGAGCACCTGGAGTTCTTGTTCCTGTTCTTCAGTCCAGAGCACGATACGAGTACCTTTTCTGATCAAATGAGGGGGTAAAAAAAGACCAGCAAGTGTTTAAATGATGAGCAAGTAATGACTCATATAAAGTAATGCCAATCACATAAAGCAAAGACTAATTAAATACAAATCTCAATTGCCATTTAAAAGTTTACAGGATTCGTTTTTTTTTTTTGTAGTTACAATGCCACCTAGCATCTGCAATTGATGAAACTGTTCAGAATGTGTACCAAGTTTAGTGAAGTTTGGATGCTGTGCTCAAGATATAGGCCAACTGGTCATTATGACCAACACCAAAATATATAAAAACAATATATATTATTCAATAATATTATTATTATTAAAAACCATGCACAACCTTATTAGCTGCTAAAATTCAAGTTATTAGCTGCTAAAATTATATTAACTAATGGTGGGCATTCTAGCCGATTTATTTGTTTGATATTTCATGTGTTAGAAATAGTTTTCACTAGGGCTGCCCCCTAATAGTCAACTAACCTTTAGTCGACAAGAGGAGGCTTGGTCAACCAAAATTTTATTAGTCGCAGAAAAAAAAAATCCACAGGAAGTGGTGAGGTCACGCAGTCCGTGACGGACAGATCGTTAACGGCTGGATTTTGTGGTAATACAGTACATCCAAATGCTCGCCTATCATTCATCGACCTCAAATATGGCTTATCATCTGAAATATGTAAGTAGTAGCAACTTTACATGGCCACTCAATCTAATGTTAACCTAGAAAAATGTGCGCTATTCAAGTGTCTGTGCGGAGTGTGAAAGCTGAACAGTAGCGCGCTCACAGCATGACAGATGGAGGCGCCGGTGCAGTCACTTGCTCTTAAAATACTCTGTCACTTTGGTCATACAGATAAGAGTAATACAACTTTCGAATCTGTAAAGCCTCTACGTTTATTTGTGTGCACTCACTATAACAACAAAACATAGCTTTTGTAAAATAATGAAAGCAAACAGGATACGCTTTCTGCTGTCTCGGCCTCTGTCAACCAGTGTTAATTTCATTGACGAATAATTTTCGTCATAATTTTCGTCAAAGACATTTTTTTCACTGACGACAACGAGACGATAACGAACTAAAACTCTTTTTGAATGACAAAAACTATGATGAAAATGTATTAACATTTTCATCAACGACAAAAATGTCAGGGAGGGACGATTTGAGAAGAGATTCATTCAATTACAAAACGAATCTGCTGCGTGGTTCGGAGATTAGATGAGTACATATGAACCGGCAGCACATAAGATAACATACACTTGGCTGCACGTCGCATTAAACGTTCAAAAATGTCAATATTTGGGAGTAAGAGAAGAGCAGACATATGGATAAATCTGACGACGCAAGAGAGAGCTCAATTCGGTCCAGTTTTCTGAGCGCAGACACTGAAGCATAAACACATAGAAAGCACATCTCACAGCGCGCTAGTACTCTTCAGTGTTGCCAATCTAGCTATTTTGTAGCTAGATTTAGCGACTTCCCCACCCCTTTTGAGACATTTTTTAAAAGTTTAGGGACAAATATAGCAACTTCTTGGACAAACCTTATCTAAGTTCTCATCTTGCCCACTGATTTATATTCATCTTTATATAGATCAGTGAATTTGCCATTATGATGTCATCTAGTGACATTTAGCTACCAGTTTTAGCTACTTTCAATTGAAAGCAGTTGGCAACACTGGTACTCTTTCACATCGCATGAATGGAGAATTACACACAAAATTATGTCGAATTGTCCGTTTTGACGAGTATTCATGTAAACACAGTTGATTACATCTTAAATGAACGTAAACAGTAGGGACAACGTGTATCAGTACATTGCATCCTTTGCAGCAGTGCATTCGGTTTTAAAGGAATAGCAGCCTAATTTAGTTGCTATTGTCCGAGTCATTGATGTTAATCAAGCAACAACAGAAAGACAGAAAATCACTCACTGCTCTTGACTGAAAAACTTTAGTAGCCCTAAAGATGAATCTAAATTTATTTATAGAAATAAATATGTCTGCTTGAAAGAATGAAGAATATGGTAACTAAAACTAAATCAAAATTTGCTGTCAAAATTAACACTGCTGTGAACTTGAGCGCGAAACTCAGTGTATACTTGCCTTACAGACATGAAAAATATATCTATGAGAGTGAAATGTCTACTTTCAAATGAAACAATTCAAATCTGAAAAAAACATATATTCTCAGATTATGTAATTCGTATGAAACTTGCAAGCAGGCGCATCCACTACTGTGGAGATGACGAGTCAGTGTCGCCCATTTCATCAGCCGAAAACACTAGTTTATAAATAGATTATTAAAATGTTAATGCAGTTTAATCTTACTGTGTCCCTCACACATTCATCATCATTACTTCTGCCGGTGTGCTGTGGCAAGCTTTATGCATGCGCTTGAGCGCTTATTAGGCTATGTAGGCAACTAAAGGCTCATTAGCATGATTTAAATTGTTTATTACAATTATTTCCTCTACTGAGGAAAGAAAGTCATCTACATCTTGGATGGCTTGAAGGTGAGTACATTAATAGCACATTTTTATTTTTGGGTGAACTACTGATTTAAGTTTGGATTTTGGGTCTAGCAGAGTTAAAGGAGTTTTTTTCATGTACTGTGCACGGACTTTATGAAACAATGAAATGCTTGGTTTAATTTCATTATCAATAATTTTTATTAGTTGTTGCAGCCCTACTGTAAAATCCTGCTATGTGTGCTAGGTGTGTATTCCACAATTTGAATTAATATAATTGTATAATAACAAATGATTTATAATATAACCACTAGCCAGCATTGACAAGTTAAAGCTGTTAGTGATGTTTGCAGCAAAATTTGACTAGAAGAGTAAAAATAATGAAACTGAAACTAACAAAACCCTGATTAAATGAAAACAATTTGTTAGTTCAGTTGAATTTAAATGAATTACAGAGAAGAAAAAGAGGGATAGAGAGAAAGGATGCAGCTTCCTATGTAGACAGTAAGCAGCTCACTAGGATTTTAAACAGAGCAAAATGTCTTTACTTTGCTACCAGCCTTTACTTTCCAACTACAGGTTTTACAAAAGAATCATACCTCTCTTTCTTTAAATCCTTCATACTGTCCACTAAACCCATGGACACCATGTGAGACACCACCTCACGTCTAGTGTGGCTGCTGCACAGCAATGGTAATATCGTCTCAACAATATCTGGCACTAAAGAACAAAAACATCAACAACAAAGATCATTTAGAAGACTGGTCAACACTCAAAAAACAAACAACAGACAGTGTGAATTACTGGAACTCCACCTCCAGAGTCCTTGTACTTGTCATACAATCGCTGAAGCTGTTCTTCTTCCTCAGGAGTCCACTTGCTTTTTTTCTTGTCTTCCCTAATATATATACAAATGTGAATAAAACATATCACTAACTTTTGAGCACTGTAATGAAGTTCAAAGATATGAACGCTCATCAACCTCAATATCAACAAGGTCAAAAAACTTGCAATTACCCGTCTTTATTATATCCCTCTGTCATTTCTCTTACAGCACCTACATTCTTCCAGAACAGCAGCTCCACAAATGCTTTGTTGTTTTTAGTAGCAAACACAAAGAACCAGTTCAGAACATATTTTGCAAATGTAACAAGCTCCTGTAAGGACAAAAAAAAAAACATGGTGTATTAATTAAATAACAACTGATTATTATTTTTTATTTTAGAATTTAGATATGCAGGTGTGAGATTAAGAACTGCAAAGACTTTCTTTCAAACATCAAAACCAATGACCTTGGCATCATTAGCGCTATGCTCTATCAGTCAAACTACAGACACAACATGGTAAGAAAAGATGCAGAAAGAACTACACTGTAATAATGGAGAATATTAATGGAAAGCATCAGTGTGCGTTACCTGATAGGCAGTCGCCGCTGGGTCTCCCAAGATCTTATTAAACAAGGAAAAGATGGACAACTGATACAGTAATGCCTCCATCTTTAGATCTACAGCCAGTCTGTGCAGCATGCGTGTGATGCAGTGGTTGGTGTGAACAGAGTTCTGGGAGTACGAGCGCAGCAGGATAATGTATGGACGCACAACATTTGGACTGGCAAACCTGTCAATCAAAAATTTTAATTATAGAGTATTACTGAATATATTAGAACATAAAACATGAGAAAAATTTATTCAGCCTTACTTCAAATCAATATAAAATGTAATTATGTCTACATTTTGATAACAGTTGTTTCTGCTTAGGGGTGGGCGATATGACCAAAATCTTATTTCACGGTATGATAAATTTTATTTCACGATAACTATGTACCTCGATATAGCTATTTTTATTTTGTTATTAAAATAAGGAAAAAAAGCAAATTACAAGCACAACAGAACAAATAAATATGAAATAAACTTTTAATCTATTCAGCAACAGTAGGCTAGGTTTATTTAACGTAGTACGAAATATTACAGAAATTAAATAAAGTGTATAAATAAAACACTGCATAGTATTCACTGTGTCAATCAAACATGATTAACATTAATAATGACAGACAGCAGCAGGTAAATAAAGCTGCTGTCCTTTTAAGACTGACTGCACGGATCCAATACTGAAACGCATCCTGTTTTCACCCATCTGTTTTACATTTATTCAACATATAACCTTGAATACTCCACACAACGGGCATTATGACATTGCTGTGTGTGTATTTGACCATTTAAGCACAATAAAACACGAAAGAGATCTGTTTTCGCGATTGCATGCTGTCGAGAGAGGGGCTTTCATTGCGCGCTGTTTGTCAGTCAGCGCAAGTACCGCATTGAGTTATTTTTCACTGCTTATTGCACTTAACTCTATCAAGTGCGTCTCACTCTTTATTTTCTCATTCATGCATGTTTCCTTATCACTCAAAAGGTGTATACAAAATAAATAAACAGCAAATTAGCAGTAGTGGTTAACAAGGCAGATAAATTGGCCTATTTTTTTAATTATCACGATTGCTTTTCCCTGTATGACCGATTTGTGAAAAGCCAAATTTTAGACCAAAACTCTGACTATGTGACTACCGTTTTATGTGAGATAAAACGTGTATAGAGTAGACCACACTTTTATTTTTAAGGTTATATGTTACCACAACAATTTTTCACACAACAAATTTATTCAGACAACTTTGTCAGCTTCGCAGCCACTGGTAGTGCAAAATTCCATATACAACTACATGTAAAATTTGAATGCTTTGGAATTACTATACCAGTTGTAAATGATTACTTAGTGTCTTTAATAAAAATGTAAAAAGTACAACAACTTGGGTGTTATTATTTTAGTTAGGTTGTGTTTGTCTATAATTGTGACTTTGATTAAGATCAGACAAGGAGGTAGACCAATTGTGTGATGTTGCTAAACAGTCCAAAAATGCAATACCGAATAACTTTCATTCTAGACCAGTGATCCTCAAATCTGGCTCGCGAGATCCACTTTCCTGAAGAGTTTAGCTCCAACCCTATAATCAAACAAACCTACCTGTGATTTTCTAATGATCCTGAAGACATTGATTAGCAAACTCAGGTGTGTTTGATTAGGGTTAGAGATAAACTCTGCAGGACAGTGGATCTCGCGAGCCAGATTTGAGGATCACTGTTCTAGACAGTATTGCTCCGTTTCAGTTTTACAAGAAACTGAAAAAGCACAAATGCCAGAGAATGCCAAAATTTCTCCAGGGCCCAAAAACCCCCTCAGACCCCAGAGGGCTAAAACAATCCATTTTATTGGCATACTGGTATTAATTATCAAGACAGAAAATACAAGACTGGAAGTTTAGTTTTTAGCTGGAAAAATTTACTCAATTTACATCTACTTTAAGTAGAAATAATTCTCCACGCACCTCTTGATGAAATCTAAGAAATTGAACTCTGTCTCAGACACAGCAACAGACTCCAGCTCTTCCTCTTCCTCCAACTCAACTCCATCCTCTTCCTCAAGAGCAGAATCTAAAGGAACCGACTCTACAATCAAAAAGACAAAGTCAATACATCACCATACCACTCCAGTATTGGGTTTAACAGTAAAGTCTAGTATTGTTTATAATGATATCAAGTAGTATTGTTAGAACACCAACATTTCAGGAGTTGACACTAATACCAGTAATAAACCAGTAACCAGGATTATCAATATTGACACTATTGACACTAAAAACTATTGATACTGAAAAACAGGGCTGCACAATAAAAAACCATGATTATTAATCACAATTGTCTTTTTTCCACATAAGCACAAATAAAGAGATTGCTCGTAGATTTAGGATCAGCAAACAGCACAAACCACCACATGAAAGAAAACAGACTGGCAGTACTACTTTAATTTGATGCATGTTTTAACATTTCAGGCAGCAGTTTGGGGAGCAGACAGATCACAAAGTCCAATCAATTAATAACAATAAAGGTCAGCCACTATGGTGAAAAGGAAAAAAAAAGATGCTGCAAAAAAAACATTTAGAACACTACATACATCTAATCTTAAAACAATAAATCTCCAGTCAATTTAAGCAATTCTTTTCTCAAAAAAAAAAAAAAAAATCAAACAACACTTGATGACATAAAATCACAGTGCAAAAAGGTGGTCTCTTGGAACCAAGTGAAAAAAGAAAAACTGAAAAACTCCAAACTAGTTAAAGATGTACAGAATGTACAAAGTGTGGAACAGGAAGGTGGCCTAAGTATTCCTATAGACACACATCTAACTGTTTAAGAAAAGATGCAGCACTATCAGAGAGACCTAAGCTTCAAAATCAGTGCTAATTGTGATTGCAGATTCTAACAAATTTTCAAAAATCTGCTAAGTTCAGATATTAACAGGAAAATGGGCACTGAGCAAATGGCCAAAAAATATTCAGAGAACAGAGAGAGAGAGAAATTTCTTCATCTCATTCTTAAGGGCCGGGTATACTATTTACTCAGTTGAGGGTGCAAGCCTTAAATATCATTTGTTTTATAATATTGGGTTGACTAAAATGGGAAGATACAGTAGATTTCAAGGTTTACATTTAATTCAGAGAGATTTTTTCTTCAAGATCTATTAAACGAATAGGAAAAGTAACAATACAGTAAACTAGAATCAAATCTATGCACAAATCAAATCGAAATTGGATTCAAAATTGAATAACAATTTTTAATCTAATCATGAGGTACCAAAATGCATGTTTACTACTGTCAAATCACCTTTCCTTTTAATAACACATTTTAATCATCTGGGAATTAAGGATGCTAATTTTTAAAGTTTTGCAAGCAAAATTTTTGCCCAATCTCGCTTGATACAAGACAGCTGCTCAACAGTCCATTGTCACTGTTGTCTGATTCTCCTTTTCATGATGGGCCATACATTTTCAATAGGAGACAGATCTGCTGGCCAGTCAGTCACATCCACTTTGAAATACATCACGTAGCAAAGAGAACACTGACAACGTGCCAACAGACAAGACAGAGCAGGTTACTTCTGGTATGAAACAAAGTCTCAGCTTTAAATTTTTATTTTTTTATTTTTAAGAAATTCAAACAATACATACTGTTTTGTGGCTCTTTAATGTGTTGTGACAGATCACTGTAGCGCCTCGGTTCAAGCGGCACATGAACCAATCATCTTTTAATATTTACTTAAAGCACGAAATAAACATTAATGAACATCAGAAGGTATTTTATTTAAACTGTGGAAAGACGACAGTATACACTATTTTTCAAGGTTAAGTCCACCGAAGTTAATCTACTCTCCTGTCTGATTTGTTTGTCGGACAAAATGGCAGATTAGGCGTTATTATCGATCAGATCATCTGTCTAGCTCTTTGCGAAGGTTCAATTAAATAAAGGTTAAAAACAATTAATAAATCACAGTTTCTTGATTTTATTGCATTTTACAAAATGTCCCAGCTTTTCTAGAACTGGGGTTGTAAAAATACCCTTGGCTATTTGACCCACAGTACGCTTGTGCCTATAAGAGGTCCATTTGTCGGTTAAGATGCATTTAGGACTCTGAATTGCAGCTCTCAGCAAGTAGCAATACTGGCAATAATAACAGAAATGTTGGTAGGTGCATTTATCCAAAAGGAATGACACACTGCATCGAGGGTATATATTTTATCCATTTACATATCCCCTAAAGGAGTCTCCCGGGAGTCAAACCATTGACCTTGCCACTGCTAGTGCCATGCTCTACTTTTCAAACTATAACAATACTATAAGGTTTGATAATATAAACTATTCTACCAAACCTGATAGTATTGTTGTTGAACAATGCTAGAAAAGTACAGCACTGGTTATTGTTGATAATGTTGCCAGGAATAGCAGTATACTACAGTATTAGTACATTCTTCTCTGTAATGGTATTGGGTAAAGAAGTATAATGCAATATGTGACAGTATCAGGTACAGTAATATATGTAGTGTGAGCTTACTAGGGAGTTTAGTGAAAAGTATCTGCTTCAGAAGTTCTAGTTCCTCCTCAGGTTCCACCTCAACAGATCCAAATGTGTCTCCTTCAGGCCACACTGCCCTGATTCAAAACAACAGTTTTGTGAGAGAATGAGTAAGATCTTTTCTTTCTACAATTCAAAAAACAGTCATAATGCAAAAGAGAACTCAGTTTGGTAACTTTTGTAGTTTTTTTTTGTACTGTTATTTGCACTATTGATTGTAATGCGTTTCTTTGTTATTTTATTACTAACTATTTACTTCTGTAGGTTACATATACACAGACACACAATCATTATCATGAAATAAAACTGCTCACACTACAAGATAAGATTTTGTTCATATCGCCCACCACTAAGACACATACAGTGGGTACGGAAAGTATTCAGACCCCCTTAAATTTTTCACTCTTTGTTATATTGCAGCCAT